CCTTGGACGGAGCCGGGGCTTCTTGGGGCGTCCCTAGGGGGTCTGTCTGTCCGTCGGAGGTGTCCGTCCGTTCGTGCGGAGGAGGGGCTGGCGCAGTGTCCATCTGTCTGTCATGGAATGTGTGCCTCGGGGATCTCTGTCTGTCTGTCTGGGGGCATCCCACCCCCGTGGGGTCTGTCTGTCTGCTAGGGTGTCCGTCTGCCCTTCCAGGTGTCTGGCTGTCCGTCAGGACACCTCTGTCTATTGGGTGTCTGTCCGTCTTCCTGGGTGTCCATTTATTGGGGTGTCTGTCCATGGGGGTGTTCCCTTACCCATAGAGGTCTCCACCTGTACGTGGGGCTGTCTGTCCATCCTCTGGGTGTCTGCCTGTCCGTTGTGGCATCTGTCTCCCTGGTGAGGTACCCCTCTGTCCATCTGGGTGTCTATCGGGGCATTTGTGTCCATTTGTGTCCATTTGTCCATCTGGGTGTGTTCAGTTGCCCTTCTGGATGTCTGTTGGCAAAGTATCTGTCCTTCTGTGTGTCTGTTGGGGCATCTGTCTGTCCTTCTGAGTGTCCATCTGTCCATCACAGTGTCCCTCTATCCAATGGGTTGTCCCTCTGTCCTTCTGGGTACCTGTCCAGATATCGGTCTGTCCTTCTGAGTGTCTCACTGTTTATCGAGGTGTCCATCGGGGTGTCCACTTGTCTTTCTGGGTATCTGTTGGGGAATCCATTTGTCCTTCAGGGTAATAATCTGTCCACTGGGGTGTCCTTAACCTTCTGGCTCTCCATCCTTTGTGTCCATCTCATGGTGTCCCCCCATCCGTCCATCCACAGGTCCATCCATCCACCCATCTCTGCCACCCCAACGCCATGTACACCGCGCTCCCCAAAAGGTACATCCCCTCCCCACTGCCCCCCCCCCCGATTGCCGCCCTCTCACTCCTGCCTGCCCCGCAGTGGTTCCCCTTTCGGCCCTGCAGCCGCTCTCCCGGGGCTGCACATCTGGCGGGTGGAGCAGCTGCGGCCCGTGGAGGTCCCCGAGGCTGCCCGGGGGATTTTCTTCTCCGGGGATTCCTACCTGGTGCTGCACAACGGGCCGGAGGAGCGCGCCCACCTCCACCTGTGGATGGGTGAGCGCCGTGGGGGCTGTGGGGCTCCAGGGGCAGGTGGGGTTGGGTGCTCACCTGGCTGCCCACAGGCCGGGACTCCTCGCAGGACGAGCGGGGCGCCTGTGCCCTCCTCTCCACCCAGCTGAGCTCGCTGCTGGGCGAGCGCCCCGTCACCCACCGTGAGGTGCAGGGCAACGAGTCTGACCTCTTCATGGAGTACTTCCCCCACGGCCTCACCTACCAGGTACTGGGGTGCCCAGCGGCACTTGGGGTCCTCCCAGTACGCAGCACCCCAACCAGGCTCCCAGCACTCCAGATGGGTGCTCAGCATCACCGCTGGGCTCTCCACACCCTCACTACTCTGCTTCATTTGTGCTGAGCAAGAGGGATCCCCACTGGGTGCTGGGCACCCCACCAAGTGCTCAGCACACCCATGTGGTGCTCAGCATCCCCTCCAGGTGCTAACTATCCATGCTGGGTGTTTGCCACCCCCATTTGGTGCTGGACACCCCATAGAGTGCTGAGCCCCCTGTACCAGCAGGAAGGTGGTGTGGCCTCAGCATTCAAGCCCACCCGGCCCAGCCCCGGCCCCGGCCCCGCACCCAAACTGTACCAGGTGAAGGGCAGGAGGATGATCCGGGCGAGTGAGCGAGACCCAGCCTGGGCCAGCTTCAACACCGGGGACTGCTTCCTCCTCGACCTGGGACAGGTGAGCAGGGTGCACCTGCCCCCTCCCTGGGCCTGCTGTCCCCATCTCTGGCCCTCAGACCCTTCTCATGTGGTGGTGGGGAGGGGGCAAGTTCAACGTGTCCTGTGTGTCCCTCTGTCCTCTGGGGCATCCATCAGTTCACTGGGGTGTCCCTCTTGGTTGGGGCACCTGTACCTCCATAGGACTGGCTGTTTGTCCTTCTGTTGGGGTGTCTGTCCATCTCTCCAAGCGCCCAGCCATCTGCAGGGGTGTCTGCCTCATTTTTGGGGTGTCCATCTGTTGGGGTGTCTGTCTGTCTCTTGGGGTGCCCACTGACCTCTTGGGGTGTCCCCCTATCCGGAGCAGGGTTTGATGGTTGGGGTGTCTGTCCATCCATGGGAGTGTCCCTCTGCCCATCGCAGCATCTTCCTGGACCAGCTTCAACCCCCGCGGCTGCTCCATCCCCAGCCTGGCTGAGGCAGGTTGGGGACCACTGTGGGGTGACTCCATCACCACTGTTCCCCTCCCTGTCCCCAGACCCTTTTCGTGTGGTGTGGGGCCCGGAGCAACGTCCTGGAGCGCAGCAGGGCGCAGGAGCTGGCTGTGGCCATCCGGGACAGCGAGCGGGGTGGTAAGGCACGCCTGGAGATCGTGGTGGACGGCGAGGAGCCACCCGAGATGGTCCAGGTACGTCCTCACTGGGAGGAGAGGGGGACATGGGTGTCCCTGGGGTGGCTCTGTGACACCCCCATCTCGTCCTCTGGCAGGTGCTGGGCCCCAAGCCCCCCTTGCAGGAGGGCAGCCCCGAGGAGGACGTGGCAGCCGACCAGAGCAATGCGGGGGCAGCCGTGCTCTACAAGGCAAGGACATGGCAGGACACCCCCGTGGCACCAGGGCTGGGCATGGCTGAGTGTCACCATGGAGGGCACAGGGATGGAGATGGCCAGGGGACACCATGGTGATTCTAGGGTCAGGCATGGCCAGGGACAGTGCAGTGGTCCCATGGGAGACGTGGGACTGGGCAACACCAGGGGACACTGTGGTGGCCCCTGGGCATACGTGAAGCTGTGGACAGCCAGGGGACACTCTGGTGGTTCTAGGAAAGCCACAGGGAGCTGTGCATGGCCAGCAGACACACCTTGGTGGCCCCAGAGAGCATATGAGGCTGGGCATGGCCTGGGAACACTGCGGGTGCCCTGAGAGGCATGGATGGGGAATGCTGCAGTGGCTGGGTGGGAGGACACTGGGCTGGGGCGGCTCTGGGTGACCTTGCAGTGACGTCCCCTCCACGGGCAGGTGTCGGACGCGACGGGGCACATGGACCTGACCCAGGTGGCCGCTGGCAGCCCCTTCAGCCAGAGCCTGCTCTGCCCCAATGACTGCTTCGTGCTGGACAACGGCGCCGGCGGGAAGGTCTACGTCTGGAAAGGTGCCTGGGGTGGGGACACAGGGTGACATGGAGATGGGGGCCGTGCCCAGAACGGCTCTGACATCCCCACCGCAGGGCGCAAGGCCAACGAGCAGGAGCGCCGGGCGGCCCTCAGGGTGGCCGAGGAGGTGATCGCCCGCATGGGCCACCCGCCCCAGACACAGGTGGGTGCAGTGGTGAGGGGTACCCGGGGGCTGGCATGGGAAGCATCATCCCCTCCCAATCCCTGTCCCGTCCCTGTCCCCATTGCTGTCTCGGCAGGTGGAAATCCTGCCCCAGGGCTGCGAGACGCCCCTCTTCAAGCAGTTCTTCACCAGCTGGAAGTGAGCAGCAGGTGCCCATGGGGCCAGTGCCCAGCCCAGGGTGTCACCAGGCTTATGCTGGCTGTGCCAGCTCCCCGCAATGCTTGTGCCCTGCTCAGCCATCCCTGTCACTGTGCCATCCCTATGCCTGTGTCTTTGCTCATCCCATCTCCATGCCATTGTCACTCACATCCTCATGCATCACATCCTTGACGACCCATGCCAAGCCCATGCCATCTCCATTGCTGTGCTATCCCTGTGCCTTTGCCCACCCCGTGTCCTTGCCACAACCATTTCCTGCCATCCCCAAGCCTATGTCATCCCCGTTCCTGTGCCATTCCCTGTGTCATCCCTGTCCCTTTGCCCCTCCCCTGCCCACGTCATCCCTGTCCATCCCTGTGCCATCCCCATGTCCACGTCACTTCCTTCCCCATCCCTACCTCATCCCCAAGTCCAAACCATCTCCTTCTTATGCCAACCCCATCCCCATGCCATCCCTCCTCCACACCATCCCCAAACCCATGTCATCCCTGCCCCTGTGCCATCCTGTCATCCCCACTCCTTTGCCCACCCTGTGCCTACCTCCATCCCCATCCCTACACCATCCCAAGCCATGCCATGCCCACAATACACCTTCCCCCCAACCACTGCTGCCATAGCTGGGCCACCTGCACCCCCTGACCACCTTCCTGAGTGTGCCTGTGCCACGCTGTGCCCACCCCGTGCCCATGCATCTCATCCCTTGCCCAGGCCCCAGAGAATAAAGGGACAGTGCCGTATCCTGTGTCTGGCTGCTCTGGGTGTGGTACCAGCCCTGGGGATGGGGGGACACAAGGGGACTCAGGACAGGGCAATGGCCCTGCAGGGGACGAAGGTGTCCCCACCACCCTGGTGTGATGACACCCTACAGGGCCACCTGTGTCATCAGGGCACCAGCCCTCTGCCCCATGGGGTGATACCCACAGCTACAGGATGTCCCCAGGGGCTGGCAGCACCCAGAGTGACCAGGAGCCCCAGTCCTTGTGTGACCACCTGACCCTGAAGTGGTTGGGAAAGGTGGGAGATGGCTCCCAACTGGCTGCCACCCTGCATCCCCCACATCCCCAAATCACCCGTGTGGTCAAGTCCCTGATACCTCCAAATGTCCAGTATACCTCCATGTCCACATCCTCAAATGTCCCACCCTCTGCTCTCTCCACAGTCTCTCCATCCCTAATGTCCCCAGTGTCCCCAAACCCCCAGTGTCACCAACAACACCCCCAAATCCCCTCACCACCCTGGGGCCAGCCAGACCCTGCAACCCCCATCACTGCTGGCTGCTCCCTCCCTCATTAGACCCAGATAATTAGTGCTGGAACTAATTATGTCCCCAGTTACCCCTCCCTTGGCCCCTGCTCATGACAATCTGATGTGACAACATGTCTGGCATTAGGGGCACCAAACCCCTGGCATTCCACCCCAATTCCCATCCACATCCTGTTGCATCCATCACCAAGGAAAAGCCCTTTTATTGTAGCTGGGGAGGGCCTGGGGTGGGGGGAGAGGGAGGGGGAAGGAGCCCAGGGGAGGGACTCAGAGGAGCCACCATGTTCCCCAGGGGGAGGGGTGGGTGAGCCAGGACCCCCCCGACACCCAAAACCCCATCCTCTCCTTCTACTCCCAAAGTGACACTGAGGTGGGAAACTCAATGTGGGGGAGGGGCTGGGCTTTTCCTTGTTCACAGTGAATTTGGGGTAATGGAGGAGGTCCCACCCGCTTGGCCTGGCTGGATCTGCACTGTAGAGGAGCTTATTCACTCCCAATTTAAATCCCTGGAGCATGATTTGGGGAGAGGGAAGGGAAACCCTCTGGTGGGAAGAGCAGGGAGGAAAACACAGGTTCATGTGTGGTGAGCTCGGGGTGGTCAGGGTTGGAGGGGGAACAGAGCCAGGATTCAGCTCTCCTGGTGATGCCAAAATCATTCTGATGAGCTTTGCTGGTGAAATAAAATTGGGAAAGTGGCTTCTCCGGTGCGGCTGCAGCAGGTCCAAGGTCACAGGGTGAGAGAGAGCGCAGGGGGGAGGTAATTTGTTCCCTGAAAATGCCCTGTGAGGGATTTGCCACCTCCCTCCATCCCACTCCAAAGCCAAGGAAGGGGAGACCAGCACTGTGGGGTTCAGGGTAGGATGGACCCTTCACCCACCCAAGGGCAGCTATGGGGGGCAGGGGGGCAGCACCTGGGGGGACCCCGCTGCCCAGGGAGTGGGGAATGGCACTTCACTTAGAGAGAGAAAGAAACAGAGAAGAAGAAAAAGCCACACGTCATTTGGAAGAATCAGGCAGGAGCTGAGTGGTCCCAGGAGGCTGGAATGGTCCCAGGGGTCTGGAGCCCCCCACTAGCCCCCCCGCCAGCCCCCCCTACTCTATCAGTTCCACGTAGTTGGCAGGGAACATGCCAAAGTGACCATCAGGGCCGTAGCCACGCCACCAACCCTCATCAATCATCTCGATGTTGGTGATGATGTTCTCAGGATCAAAGGAGATCTCGGTGTCATCAGCTGGAATGGAATAGAGAGAAGGAGGGGGGGGTCAGACCACCTGTACCCTCCCAGTTCTGGGGTTTCCAACATAAGAGGAGTGTGGAGCTGCTGGAGCAAGTCTAAAGGAGGTCTCAGAGACGCCCTGAGGGCTGGAGCCCCTCTGCTCTGGGGACAGGCTGGGAGAGCTGGGTGTGTTCACCTGGAGGAGAGAAGGCTCTGGGGAGACCTGAGAGCCCCTTCTAGTGCCTAAAGGGGCTCCAAGAGAGCTGGAGAGGGACTTTGGACAAGGGCCTGGAGTGGCAGGACACAGGGAATGGCTGTGGGTCTCACCAGCCTGGTAGTCGTAGAGCGCTCGGGCACAGAGCCCCTTCCCCGCCAGGTCCGGCGGCTCCTGGTACTCCAGCCCGTAGTCGTATTTGGCATCATCAGCTCGTTCCTTCAGGAAGGAAGGAGAGAGGGAGAACAGGAATTACCAGGAGAAAAGGGAGGGAGTGAGGAAAACAGCAACGTGAAGCACCCAGAGATGTAGATCACCCCTGGGGCTCAGAGGCTGGAGGTCCCGGGTGCCCCCCGGAATAAAACCTGGGCTCTGGGAAAGTCTTGCCACATGTCTCTGCCACGGGACCCAGGAGACCAAACCAGCCCTGAGCCGAAGAGTCAAGGTGGCCACCTCTCCAGTCAACACTGATCCCTGTCCCTTGAGATCTCATCCCAACAAAACCACTGGAGACCAGTGGCAGAAAACTTGTCTGGAATCTAATCCTTATCCCTTGGGGTTACCCCTGCAGAGGGAGGTTCAACTCCCATGGATAAGCTCCAGCTTCCCATGGAGCTTTCTGCTGGAGCCTGAGCCAGCTGTCATTTGCTTTCCTCTGGAAAGGCTGAGGGGATTGCTCAGCCCATCTACTCTGGAATCTTTTGGAATCTGCTGGACACTTCCAGACAAATTCCAGAATGATAAAATGATGTTTGGAATGCCGATGGTTTGGTGAGCAGAGGAGAGGAAACCAAAGGGCCCCACATCTCCAAGGGAAGCACAGCACAACCCCACTGTTAGCCACTGGAGAATATTGGAGCACGCCAAGAATAGCTGGGAATGCCAGCTCTGCTGGGTTTGGATGTGCAGGAGAAGGAGGAGAAAGGGCTTTGGAAGAGGTTTGTGGATCCTCTCCCCTCACTGGCTCTGGAGCACTGACAACAGCTGGATGGCCCTGGAGTACAGGCTGGGTGCCAGGGGCTCAGCACCAGTGTCTCCCACTGGGAGAGCACTGTGGAGGGATGCAGCAGCACCCCCTCACTAGGAGGATGCACTGGAGTGCACGTGAGCTCCAGGGTTTCTCCTATTGATTTTAACCCAGAAAAGGGTTCCAGACCCATCCTAAAGGATAAAGCCACGCTCTCCCACATGAATCCTGTCCCCTCCTCAGGGGTCCCTGCCCCCCAAACACACCTGGGGGGGGCTCCTCATAGATGGCTGAGGGCTCTGGAGGCTCCTCGTACAGATTCGTCTCTTCCACATGGGACATCGGGACGCCAGAATTGTACCCGGAGTCTCGTCCTGAGGAGAAACATGGCATCTGTCACCAAACTCACGCCCTGTTCCCTCATTCACCTGCCTCCTGCTCCAGGCTGGAGTGACAGCACATTCCTGGTGGAAGCTGGGTGTCCCCCAGATCTCCTGTTCAGCCAGGGAATGGAGCGTGCTTGGACCATGGGATGGGGCAGGCAGGAAGCACAGAAGAGAGCAAGCAGGGGTTTAGGGAGCAGTGAAAAGGACAAGGGAGAGATCCAGGATCTCCAACAGGGAAGGGATAAACTCGAAGGGATAAACTCACTCCAGATGAACCATGTTCCCATGGAGGGGAAGGGCTGGAGTGGAGGCCATGGCCAAGAGCAGCATCTAGTGGTGATGGTGGCCCGGCTACACTGGAGCATGGCCCTGGCCCTCGGCACATCCCTGGGCCCCAGTCTGTCCCTGGTCTCTGCCTCACCCCTGGCCCTCTCCTTGTCTCTGGCCCTCAGCATGTCCCTGCCCCCCACCTCATCCCTGGACCCACAGCTTGTCCCTGGTCCTCAGTTCATCCCTGGTCCCCACTTTGTTGTCCCTAAACCCCACCTCACACCTCATCATCCCTGGCCCCCACCTTGTTTCTGCCCTCACCTCCTCCCTGCGTATGGCAGGGGGGTGGAACTAGATGGTCCTTCAGATCCCTTCCAACCCAAACCAACGTGTGATTCCATGATTCAGAAACAAGGCCAACCCTCAGTGCCACTCACAGCACATGGGGAGACCTCTGGGCACAGCCAGCCCTCTTCTGGAATCGATCCCTGTCCCAAACCACTGGGAAGTGGTTAAGCAGGGGCACCTTCCACTAGCCCAGGTTGCTCCAAGCCCCATTCAACCTGCCTTGAATGCTTTCAGGGATGGGGCAGCCGCAGCTTCTCTGGGCAGCCTGTGCCAGGGCCTCCCCACCCTCACAGGGAAGAATTTCTTCCCAATATCCCATCTAACCCTGCCCTCTGGCAGTAGGAAGCCATTCCCCCTTGTCCTGTCACTCTGTGGCTGTGTACTGGTCTTTACTGGGATAGGAAAATAGCCCAGTGTAACTCTGGAGTTGGGAAACCCCTGCACAGGCGGTGTCTCGGCTGTGTCTCGGGGCACTTTGGGCAAGTCCAAGTGTGACTGTCAAAGCCCCTGTGGTCTGGAGGGGGCTGGGGGTGCTCGGAGCTGAATTCCAGCCTTTCAGCAGGAGATATCCTCATCCCCTGGACACCGAGCCTTCGGCTGAGGACTAGGAGGAACCATCCTCACCCTCAGCATCACACTCAGTCCTGGCTGGTGACAAACATGGGGGTTCCTGGTCCAAGGAATGGGAAAAACACATGGAGTCTCTGAGCCAGGCCTCAACATGCCCAATTTTGTGGAATCTATTTGGAAAGATGCAGAGAAAAGCTCTGGGGAGGGAGCCAAGCACGAACCTGCTGCAGGTACTGGGGAGGCTGGAGGTGACCCCCAAACATTCTGGCTGTGGGAGGCAGGACTGGGCACAGAGTTCACCTCCTTCTGCAGGAACGGGCTGCGGAGCTTCCCTGGAAAAGGAGACTGAGGGGCTGCAGGAGCTGGGCAGGCAGCAGGACTCCCAGCCCACAACTGTGCACCCAGGGGTGCTGCTGAGTCACCCTCCCAAGCAGGATTTTCCAGCTCTAATCCTGGTTGTGGAAAACAAGTTTGGCAACTGGTTACAGCAGCAGCAGCCAAGGGAAAATTTAAAAAAAAAAAAAAAAAAAGATTTTGGGGGAGGAAGAGGAGCTGGGAGACCCTGCCACTGGCTCTCCAGAGTGATTTCTGGAGCAGTCTGAATGCCACAGACATCAAACTGGGAGGGGATGATGCAAACTGGTTTCTGCCAGTCCATTTCCTGTGGCAAGAGTTAACTGTTATCTCTCCATCTCCACCTCCAAACCAAACAAAAGCTGAGGAGAAGAATTGCCAGACAAACCCTACCAGCACCAAGACTCCAGTCTACCCTCACCTCTGAGTCTGATCAGTTCCAGGGTATTTATCTCCTTTTCTTCCATGAAAACCATCAAATCCTAATGAAATACCTCAAAATCAGCCTCTCCCCCTGATGTTTAACCAGCAAAAAGGACATTTTCCCAGTGTGGCGTTTCTTCCTCTCCCACTCATGCCTTGCCTGCCCAGGGAAGAAGGGATTTGTGCTCCTGTCATCAAGTAAAAGTGATTATTCAATGAATCAATTTAAGGTGCTTCGGAGGGGGTTGCACTGAGGAGGAGGAGGAGGAGGCAGTCACCCAGGGGTGTCGTGCGCTCACAGGGACTTCCTCAGCCGCTCTCAGCTCTGCTTTGCAAACTTCCTGGTTTCTATCAGAGAGATCAAATCAGGCTCTTCCAACATCCTGCTTGGCTCGGGCAATGCAAAAATTTGGGCAGAACTTTGGGCAGTCAGGATAGATTGCAATGGTTGTGTCTTTCTGGTGTCAATGTGTTGAACTTCAATTGAAAAAAATGAAATTTGAGGTTCAGAAGGGAAGGGAGAGTATGGGAAACTTCTGTCTTGGTGGTTAAAACTTGGCACAGCTGGAACCTCACTTTGGAAAATGGCAGGAGCTGGGGGTGGGACACCACAGCAGAGAACATCGATGTGATGAGAGTTGCCCGTTCTCAGTCCAAACAGCGGCCTCACAGTATCACTGCCCCACTGGGACCCCAGTGGGACCCTGCTCCACTGGGACACGGTGGAGGACTGGGGGTGGCCTCATCACCCTCCCCGTGTCCTCTCACACCCCTCATACCTGGCTGTGCCACCCTCCCTGTGTCCCCTCACACCGTACCTGGCTGGGTTGGTGTCCCCGTGTCCCCCGGCCCCGCTCTCTCCCTCTGCTTGAAGATGTCGCGGGGGTTCACGGCTCTCTGTGCAATCAGAGTCGCAGCCTCCTGCCCAGGGAAGGGCCCAGATGCCACGTCAAGGTCACAGAGCAGTAGCAGGGGGGGCAGAGCCGAGGCAGACACCCCCCAGAGCGCTCCCAGTTCCGTACCTGGGCTTTCTCCACCGACTCGCTTCTCTTGAAGCCCTTCCTCTGTTGGGTCTCGTACTCCTCAGCCTGCTCCTTCTGCAGCACAAGAGAGGGTCTGCGTGCTAAGCTAGCCCACTCTGGACACATCCAGCTGCTCCAGCCCCATCCAGTTCCTTCCAGCATCATCCTATCCCCATCCTGCCTCTTCTGCCCACTCCAGCCCCCTCCAGCCCCATCCTGCCTCCTCTGGACCCAAGGAACTCACATGGTGATGGAGGGGGAATGGAGAGGAAACCCTGGATCTGAGAGGGAGGCTGAGAAAAGGCACTTGGTTTCATGGAATCATGGAATGATTCAGATTGGAAAAGCCCTCTGAGATCACCAAGCCCAACTGTTTCCCCAGCACTGCCAAGGCCACTCATGTCCCTATGTGCCACATCCATGTGTCTTTTAAATCCTCCCAGGGCTGGGGACTCCACCACTGCCCTGGGCAGCCCTTTACCATAAAGGAATTCTCCCAGTATCCAGTCTAAACCTCCCCTGTGCAACCTGGCCATTTCCACTTGTCCTATCCCGGGTCTCTATCCCCTCCATCATGGATAAACCTTGCCTGGGGCCAGTGCCAGAGCTCACCCATTGCTGCTGCTCCCTGTCCCTGTTCTCAGCCTCCTGTTGCTGCTGGAGTCTCCTGTGGGGACAAACTGGGGTTAAAACCAAGGATTTGGGACCTCAGCCCATTGCAGCTCCCTGGGAAGAGCACAGGAAGGATGTCCCCCTCACTCTGGGGACACTCCCCCTCACTTTGGGGCCAGATGAGGAGTCGCAGGTCACCCTTGGAGAGAGGAACATTGTGAGAGGGGCAGGAGCAGCTCCAAATATTGGGATTAATCCAGAGAAATCTCTTCCTCAGGGATATGGACATGAGCATTCAGATGTGGGGGCCAAGCAGACTTCCCTGCAGTCCCTCAGGGCTCAGATTCCCCCAAAGCCAGCCTAGACCTCCAGCACCCCAAAAACAGGTGCCATGGGTGTTAGAGAGGAGTTTGGGAAGCAAGAAGGGGATGAGTGGGCAGGGAGAGCTAGGGAGATGCTCCCTCCAACCCAGAGCAAAATCCTCTCCACATATGCTCCCTTAAAGGAGATTTCCTGGGATTGCAGGAATTCCAGCAGTGAGGAATGCATGGACATGATCCACCATTCCCTGAGGAACAACCTCTGCAGGAGTCGGGACAGCTCACATACATGGTGACAAGGATACCCAGCACCACCGAGAGACCCCAGAGGACAGGACAGCCTCTTGGAATCATTCCCAACATCCCACTCACTTCTGGGCTTCGATTTCACTGGATCTGGCTTTGAACCTCTGCTCCCTCCCTGCCGCCTCCTGCAGCTCCCGCTCCCGCCGCTCCCGCTCCAGCCGCTGCCGCTCCTCCTCCGCCCTCCTCTTCTCCTCCAGCCGCCGGTTCTCCTCATCCTTCTGAGGGCACACAGGCACGGAGGGGTGGGGGTCACAGGCACTGCCCCCAGCCCTCTGCATCCTGGGGCACGCAGCAGGTCCCAGGGCTGGTGGCCCCCAGCCAGAAGGTTCACACATCATTAAACCCCAGTAAAACCCAACATGAAAGGGGAAGGAAACACAAGGCAGCCTTCAGAGGGGACAAAAATCAGTTTCCTCACCCAAAGAGGGTTCATTTGGAGCTGGGGTGCACCCCAGCCCTCCTCCCCCGTGCCCACCCCAGCAGCCTTGAGCCAAACTCAGATGAGAAAAAGGAGCACCTTCCCCTTCAGGACTCAGCCCCTCCTCCCTGAGCACCCGAAGGCAGCAGCTCTGCACTTCCCTGAGCTCTGGATCTCTGATTCCAGGCAGCATTATCCGATTCCCAGACAGGGAACACAGCACGTGGAGAGTAATCTCCAGCTAAATCCAAAGGCTTCGTGCTCCGAGGCATGTGCTCACCTCTGCTTTGGCCCAGAAATTATCCTTATTGACTCGCTTGATTTCGGACATTGCGTTTGTCTTCTGGTAGACGGAGCCCTGCGGAGGGAAGGCACAGACAAATTACCATTTTTGCATTTTTTGTCAAAAATCAGCCCAAATCAGCACAGTCTGGGACTTCTTCTAAGAAGTTCCTATAACCTGATGCTTTGCCCCAAAATTTAAAGAAGGGCTGGGTGAGGCCAGCAACGTGTATGTTGCCAAAAATGGGCAATTGCGGGCCCTGGCACAGCTTGCCCAGAGAAGCTGTGGCTGCCCCATCACTGGAAGTGTCCGAGGCCAGGTTGGACAGGGCTTGGAGCAATCTGGTCTCGTGGAAGGGGGCAGGGGGGTGGAACTGAATGAGCTTTAAGGTCCCTTCCAACCCATCCGTTCCATGATTCCACACTTTGAACCTGCCCTGTCAGTGTAAACCCACTGCCTCATCACTCCAGGTCCTTCTCTAAAGTCCCTCTCCAGCTCTCTTGGAGTCCCTTTAGGCACTGGAAGGGGCTCTAAGGTCTCCCTGGAGCCTTCCCTTCTCCAGACTGAACATTCCATGGATGTGTCAATGCCCAGGGAGCCACTTCCATCACTGGATGAAAGTGGTCCCAGACCTTCCCCCATCCAGAGGGACCACCCTAAAACCCTCATGGATTCAACTCACCACGGGAGCCTGAGGCCCTGAGTCCTGGAACTTGCTGCTCTCCTTGTGGAAGCTGTAGTTGGCTCCAGAGGCCTTGGCCACTTTCTCCATGATGAGTTCAGGCTCCACGTCCTCCTCTGCCCGGGCGTTGATGGTGACATGAGCCCCCTGAGCGGAAAGAACCAGCACAGGGGTGAAGGGGTCACCCTGGGAGCCCCCAAACCCACCACCTTGCCCTGGTGGGTCCTGTCTGCACTCCTGGAGCCCCCAAGGGAAGGAAAAGGGTTCTGGTGAGATGGAGAAAATCTCCAGACAGATTTTTTGGGCAACCTGGTCTAAGTAGAAAGTGTCACTGCCCATGGCAGGGGTCTGGAACTGAATGGTCTATAATGTGTCTTCAACTCAAAGCATTCCATGATTCCCTAAAGGAGGACATTGGGAGGATCAGACCTTTAGGAAGTTGGCCACGGTGCTGACATGGTTGGCGCAGGCTCCTTTCCGCACGTCATTGACACCTTCACCTGTCTGTAAAGAGAAACCATCGGCTCACCTGAGCCCATCCCAGTTGGATCCATGGCAGCAGCACCTGGATCAAGCCTGACTCTCTCTCCAGATCTCTTGGAGGCTCTTCAGGCACTGGAAGAGACACTAAGGTGTCCCCAGAACCTTCTCTTCTCCAGGCTGGACACCCCCAGCTCTCCCAGCCTGGGCACAGGGCACAGGGGCTCCAGTTCCCTCCCCGATAAACTGAGGTCCACCCCCACTCACCCAGTTGATGAGGACGTATTTGGGTAGCCCGGAGTTGGGATCCTTCACCCGGCAGAAGCCATACATCACCTTCCCGCTGTTGAGCTCCTCCACCATCTCCTCCAGCCCCCCGTCTGCCCCGGGAGGAAGGAGAGGCAGTGAGTCCAGCCCATTCCACACACATGCTGGGAACAGCCAAACCCATGGAGGCTGCAGCTCCCAGCCCCTTATTCCCTGGAGATTATCCCCATGAGATTTGGGGATGTCCTACCACAGGATCGTCTCAGACCCCTCAGTGTTTACCCTGGTCCTTCCATTACCTGATCATTTGTCATCCACATAATTATTTGGGAGCCAAGCCCCAGCCTTCTCTCACCCACCCCCATTCTCAGCAGCCTTAATCACCCAGTTCCTCTTCCTCAGGCTTTCACAAACCCCATAGAGAAAGATCCTGGATCTGTAACCAAGTGAAGGGATGACAGAGAAGGGGAAGGAGCTGCTCACACCCCCAGATTAATTAGAGGCTTTAATGAGAGCAGGCAGCTGCCAGCTCTGCCCACAGGTTCCTGTACAAAACCACGCTCCGGCGAGCACCGGCATGGCCGGAAAACACTTCATGAGGGCAGGAATGGTGCTGGGAAGTGGTGGAGGAACTGGCTGAGCTTTGTTCCTGCTTTGTCAGACAGGAAGTAGAGAAGGAACCAAGAGGGCGACATGGGGCAGGGCCCTGCTTGTCCACCTCCTGCCCCGACGCTTCCCTCACTGTTAAACACATCCAGGGTGGTCTCAGCATCAGACTTGGGGGCTCAGAAGTGAATCCCAGGGGGAAAATCCCACACAGGGCTCAGGCAGGGGCTGAGTGAGCAATGGGAAGGGCACAGCATCACTCCCACTATGCCAAAAAGCTACCAGGAATGGAGGAAAAGCACCAAAAACTCACACTCTCATCTCAAAAAAATTACTCCAGACCACAATTCCCCCTGCACTAGATTGTCTGAGCCCTGAACAGGGGGAAAAGAGCCACTGATCCTGATCAGCCCTGGGAGGACGGGCACAGCCCAGCCCGGCTCGCTCTGTACTGCAGGAGCACCCAGATCGTTTCCCTCTCCTTATTAAATATTTATGCTTTGGCTCTAAATTTGGCTCCAAACCCAGCAGGGAAGTTGAAGGCTGGAAGTCTGAGGCCGGTTGGGTGAGTGCTGGCATGGAACGACATGATGGAAATGCTGGAGGGAGAAGGGATCTGTGAGGAGCTTGGGGCACACCCTCTGCAGCTCCCCAAAACCCTCATCTGTGGCTCAACAAGAGCTTTTTCTGAACAAAATTCCCCAGCACCATGTCCCTGGCTCCATGGGCTCTGCCAGGCCCTGCAGACCATCCCAGAAACTTCCATAGAGCTCTGTGGGTTGGGAGAAACACCTGGAAATTAGGAAAGAAGCCAGGGAGGGATAAGAGGATACAAATACCTAGAGTGGGGAAACCCTCTATTGCGCTGTTTCCCAATAGTTTTGGCTTCCCAGCCAGGAGTGTTTCAGTGGGAACCAGCAGTCAGATAAAAAATAAAAAAAAAAAACAGTCGTGAGAAGGAGAGAATTGGATGTGAGAGGCTTCAAGAGCATTTAGTGGGAGCCCTAGCTGGGTGAATGGCTGGACATCCACATGGACCTGCCTAAATCCAGGATCTAAAATACTTCAGAGATGCACAGAGCAACCAGGGTCCAAACTCTGGATCCTTGGGAAAGGAGGAAAATGAAAAGGAAGGAGAAGCAGAGCTGCCGGCAAGTCTCTGCTCCATATTCCTCGCTCCAAAATCACACTGGACACCCTGACACAGCTGCCACCCTTGTCCAACCACCAAGGGCACTCCCCAAAATACCCTCAGGGGTTAAAAACCCCCTGACATCCCAGGCAGGTAGAGTGACACGAGCCCTGGAAGCCCCCAGACCCATAGGAATGGGGGGACAGACCCCAACATGCTCACCTCCAGAGCCAGCCACCCGCAGGTCATTGCTGTTGCCTTCATAGGTGAACAGAGCCCTAAAATTAAGGCCGAAAGGGGACTTTTAGCCAGTTTTATCCAGCACGGTGCCCATCTGGGGTGTCCACGCACCCCCGACACCTCCTGAAGCTCAGAGCCCCATAGAGACCCCCACCCCACATGCTGCCCACCCCACAGCCCAGGGACTTACTGATACCCCCAGACACCCCCACAGCCCTCATTCCCTCTATACACCTCACAGCCCCTCAGACACGCCCACAGCCCCCCTACATACCCCCGACCCCCTCATACTACTCACACCCCTGATCTTTACTATACATCCCACATGCCCCCCAAGCACCCCCACACTGCCTGACACTCCACATCCCCCCACAAGTCACTGGCCCGGCCCTAAATCTTCCCCCAGAACACCCATCCCCAGCCATCCGTTTCACTTCCACCCCTCCACCCCCTCCCCACCCCCTCCCATTCCCCCTTCATCCCCCATCCCCCACCCGAGCCATCCTCGGCCCTCCTAAACACACACGGCCCCCAAACACCCCACAGACCCTCGCACACCCCCCGTCCCCCAAACGCCCCCCAGCCCCCTCGCAACGCCCTCATCCCCCCC